TGCTACATAGTTGTATTTCCAAAATCAAGTTGTGATTTGTGATTATTAGAATTATAAGAGGTCGTGTTCCGTGTTTCGGAGAAATTCATTTTGTGTCCCTAAAAAGAGCATATGCTCTTTTGTTGTTTGTGAACACAATGTAGTTTTTGCAGTATTGTAATTTTCTCCATTCCTTAGCAATCATTTGGATAGTGGAGCCATTTCAGATGCTCTTTCTTCAATTTGAAGTAGATCAGTGGTTTAGCTATGTTGTTTTTTGAGTGAGAGAGAGTGTGTTTGTGTGTCTTTTTCATTGTTTATTATTTTTTAAAAAAATTTTATTACTTTTTTGAGTGACAAGCATAAGTTTTAATTTGGTATTTTGTCACTTTTTTAGTGTCATTTTTTTTTTTCCTTTTTGTAGGATTGAGATTTAATAATTCATCAAAAATGTTGGTTTAAAGGAAAAAGTCACGTTATATTCTCTGCACAACATAATAACGGATTTAAATGTAAAGTTTAGTCACTTTATGTAATTGATTTCAATGTTTTAATTGGTGTTTTGTCACATTTTTTGTTGTTTGTCATTTTTTGGTCACTTTTTTTTTATGTCACTTTTGTTAGTGTTTGTCACTTTTTTGAGTGACAATTTTCACTTTTTTTTTTAAATAAAAAGAGGGAAACAATGTCACCTTTTTAATAAATAAAGTAGCAATTAATTTTACAAAGTATTTTTTACTTCTAAAATACTTTTTATATGATTTTTCAAACTACTTCTAATTTTAAATGTAGTGTCGTAAGATACCCTTTGATCTTTATAGGGCAAGCATACAAAATTTAGGCCTTTTATGCCATGTATTTGAATAATTTCATGTATTTCCCTTTAAATTGCCTAAAACAAAAATAAGAAAACGTAGTTTTACTTATAAGTGAATAAATAAATTTTTGAATAAATTTTTCTCTTAGGAATAAAATTTTTAAAATAAGTAGTTAAGAGTTCCTAAAACTTTTTGTTTTTTGTTTTTTCACTTAGAAGTAAGAAAAATGAGTTATCCAAACATGAAATAACTTTACTTTTTTTTTAAGCTTCCTTTTAAAAAAATAAGCAAATAAAATATTGAATATTTTTCATTAAATCAAAGTTAAAAATAAGTCACATGGCATGCAAGAGTTAGTTTTAAAAAAGTATCTTTTTACCTAGAAGTAAGAAAAATCAAGTTATTGATGATCAAACAAAAATATTTATTCTCGAGTAAATAAATAATTTTTTTTCTGTGTTAATCAAAGTTAAAAATAAGTTGAAGTTAAATTTACGATAATAGGTAAAATTTATAAAAGGTTTTGCCAAGTTAATTGAACTTGTTAGTATTAAAAATAATAATAATAATACCACAACAACAACAATAATATGTTATTATGAAAAGTAGGTTTATTGATAAAAAAAAAAAAACCTGATAATCTTGCTAAAATTTTGACTCCTAATTCATTACCCCTTAAATAATATTAGTTTTCCACTACTTATTTCTATTTATTTATAATTTAAATCGTTTATAAATTCTTCCCAAATTGTACTCACTAAAATCTCTAAATAACCCCTTTTATTTATTAATTTTTAGCTTGGGGGAAATAGGTCTTCATTGGAGTGGTTGTTTTCTCTAAAAACAAGGTTTTCCTGAATAAAATTTGCAAAATATGGAGTCCTTTCTTCTTTTTCCTTCCAAATCATAATCTTCAAAGTCAATTGTTTTGTTGATTAAGTCAATCCCCTTCAATAAGTTCACGACATTTGGTTGAATCAATAAGTATTGTTCATTCAATGTATTCTAAAAACTCCATTAAAAAAACCAAGTCTCGATTGTTTGTTCACTCCGTGCTGCCTCCGTACAACTATACAATAATCCATTACATATAATTAGCTAAATTATATTCAAATTCATGAAGAACGTATCATTAATTTCTCCATCCTTATTTCGTGGTATTGAAGAATGCATTAGCCATCATCTTGCCAAGCTGAACTTGAGAAGTAGTTGTGAGATGCATGCCATCTGCTCCAAGTTGAAGTCCAAAGGCATCAACTGTTACCACATTCTCCATTGCGTTTTGAATTGCTCTTACTCTATGGATATAATTCTTCACCCCTTGTCCCGATGCTAATGCTACCTTCATATGTATTAATTGTCAAACACCAACAACAACAACAGATTAATGATATTCGTGTATATTATGGGTCCACTTATATTTATGAGTAATGTTATTTAGAATTACTGGTGCGTACCTGAATAAAAGGAGCTTTAGGGTTCTTCAATTCTTCATACAAACGATGTAGAAACTTCTTGTACTGGCCGCGAAATTCTTTTGCTGCAACTTCATTCCTTGTATCTGTCTCCGCTTGATACCACAAAATCGCTCGAATTTTTCCGCCATATTTGAGAGCATCATTAGCTCTTGTGATCAATCGGCTTCGTACCTTGCTATTAGGAATTGACCAATCTGTAATGTTAGACCCTCCATAAGCACAAGGGACTAATACTATCAGACCAAAATTTGGGTCCTTTTCAATATTGCACTAGCAAAGGCCATTCCTGGACCAACCCCACATGTTTTTTTCACATTATCAATTCCTTCATGGAGTGGCTCCTTCGCCTCTTCTAGTTTTGAATCTCCATTTAGTCGAAGAAGTCTATTATTATTCCTACACTCGATCGGAATGTATTCAACCCACACTCCGTTAAACACCCCACCTCTTCCTGCCATGTTGCTCTGGCCTGCTAATATGAATATGCTTATTTTCTCGACCTTTCTGAAATCAATTTCTTCCTGAGAAATCATCTCAAGCCGGAGGTAGCCATAGAGAAGCAACATGAACAGAAAGAATATCAAAATTTTGTTGTACAAACTTTTCAGGGTAGTGTAAAAGAATCTTTGAGAAGCATTATGCTCTGTCATTTTCGATAGAAAAAATCACGTACTAGAGGTAGTATCTAAAGTGAAAATTGCACCTTTAACCATGTTGGCATGGTCTCTTGTTAGCACAAATGGTGAAAACTCGCGAATGGCACGTTTTTTTATGTACTTATATTTGTATTTAATTAAGCAACGACACTCTTTTGTTAAGTAGCTATACTTGTCGCCATGTTTTATGAGATTTGTAACATGCTAAAAAGACACGTCTTGAATGTAAATGTGATATTTTAGAAAATTAGCATATGCCAGAATAAAAATTGCCATATTTCTTCTTCGTTTACAAGGAAATCCAACCAAGACAAACTCATAAGTAAATTTTGCACGCACCATTTACACCTATACCATATAAGTTATCTTTAATGACATTCAACACTTAAAATTTTAATTTGATTGAGAAAATAATTTAAAAGTTTGCATATTTTTCTTATTAATATTGACGTTTAATTAATATCACCAATTGCTGGATCAGATTGCCTCGTAAGTAATGGACCATACTTGTAAAGAAACAACGTCTCGAGTTATTTTGATGTTTAAAGTCAATAAGTGCTAAGTAAATAATCGATATAATTGAATGAAATTATTTTTATTAGAGAAACATTATAATTACATATAGTTGTTAGAGTTCCTTTGTAACAAGAACTCGTGCAAAGGCAAAAAAAAGCAGAAGAAAACGTGCCTTCTCGACTTGCTGTCTCGGTGAGGACTAGTTTGAGTGGTTTATCTTGACGAAAGAAGTGACACTTCTAATTAAGATACTAGTATATTCAAAATGTATTAGACATATCGAGTGAAATTTTATGTAATATAAGAACCGTTAAATTAATTAAATTTTACAAGATCACTTAACGGTCTATTTTAATCCTAGATAGGAAATGAACTTCGGCCCCTCGAGGCATTAAAAATAGAAATAGATCAATTGGAAATCTGCTTGCATGTTCATTAATATAAACTTTGTGATGTAATTGAATTAAGAAAGTGACCAAGTTTCCATATTTTTCTGACATTTATGTGTGATTTACAAATGAAAATGATCTCAATTTTGAAATTTTTTACTTGCAATTTTTTTTCTTTCTAAGATTTGGATCGTCAACCTTTATTGGAAAAATCCGTAACACCTTGGAAATAGAATTTGTAAGTGTAATGACAAAATCCTCGTTAAAAAGAATGTATGTGTCTCATTATCGTGAACGTAGCATTTGTTCTCATAGCTAATCTACACAGACAGCCCTCCTAAGAATTGAAGATTTTCACTATGTAATTAGCAAAAATAACAATTGAGATTGTGGCTATACATTGTCTGCTCTTAACTTGTTCTGAGTCTTGAATATTTTGAAATAAAATTTAAGAAAATGTGCCGAAAAAGGCATCTGCTAGCATCCTACCAAGGCAAACCTGTGACTTGGCGGTGAGATGGAGGCCATCTTCTCCAACTTGGAGTCCCATGGCATCAACAGTTATAACATTCCTCGTTGCAATTTGACTTGCTCGAACACTTTCCAGCCAATCTGCTTCTCCCTGTCCTGATGCTAATGCTACCTTTACACCAACATAACACGAATATGAGAATCACTTTTGGCTTGATTATGTACAATTTTTTAATGCATACTTGGTTTAGTTGAAATGCTACAAAGTAGATAAAAAACTTGCTTGTTTCGTGGTAAGAAGGGTCAACACAAAAATTTTAATCAAGTTTGGCCAAAAATGTCAAGTACAAGCGCAAATAAATGTAGAAAGATTCATATGAATAGGCGCACCAATAAATTTTTAGTTGAGTTTGGCTTAAAGGTCACAAAGAAGCCACTTCTTTCGAATGAAATAAATGTAGAAAGAAGCAAAGCCAAACGTGGATTTAGACACCTTCGAACAAAATAAATGTTATTGTAATAGCATCTTTTCTTAACATATCGACAGTTGGTAAAGCCTTATTTAGCTATAAATTAAATGTTATCTGATGAACTTCTCTTCTATTTTAAAATTCTTATATTTGAAGATTGCAATTTCTTCCTATGAGCACTTTTTTTTTATTTCTTTTTAATTCTTCAGATACAGATCAAATCTGTGCAATCAATTGGGATTTTTTCATATATTGCAAGTGAAAGATTTAGAATTTCCAAAAAAAATTGTTAATTTTGTTCCTTTGTATTAATATACTCGACAACAACAGTTATCTATCATGAGAATTTGGCTTCTGAGGTATGAGGTAAATAATTATTTTTGAGATGATCTCACCCTCGTTGAAATATGCTCAGTTAAGGGTCCGTTTAGCATGACTTTGAAGATGTCAAAATGAGATTTTGAAATCCAAAAAGTGCTTTTGGGTCAGTTTGATCGATTAATTTTATAAAAGCGTTTCTTCTAATCAAAAAACATTGCAAACCTAATGCGTCTTTTTTATAAGCTCTTCCGAAAGTGAATGTTCTTTTAGAAATCAGTTTTCATATACTAATTAAAATAGCTTTCTCAAAAACTTTTCTACGAAAAGTAAAACCAAAAGCCTTGTCAAACCTCCCTAAAATAGGATCGTTGTAATATTTTTTCTCTTTTCTCCATTATTGTTGCAGCAATAAAATCTCTTAATTCATTTGTCATATACTTTTATTCTTTTGTTCTTGATTAAATACTTTATTACTTTGTCATATAATTTCAACATCTTAATCCGGTGATTGGTGTCATAACAAGTGGTATCAATCATAACAGTTAAAACGGTAAATGTTTAACTTTTAATTATTATTTTAACTTTTAAGCACGATTTAATTTTAGTATTTTCAAATCCAATTTTTTATTATAATCTGAGTAAATGTGCAAAAAGTAAATTTGAGTAGTTGTAAATTTATGGATGTAAACAAGGCCAATGTGCGTCAAATGAGAAAGTCTTCAATCTTCTATAGGAAGATTTTATCTGCACACATGATAAGATAGATATTTTAGATCATGACATAGACTCCGAACCATTTAAATCATGACACTTCAACATTTAAAAAAAAAAACAAGTGGTACCGAGATATCATGATTTAAATGGTTCAGGATTTGATGTGTCATAATTTAAATGATCAAACATATTATATGTACATATATGATTGTTCTATTTAGGGTCTGTTTGATAGATATTACTTTGGAAGAATATATTTTGGAATAATAGATTGATGGAGAATGTGTGGTTAAAAAAGAAGAAAAAGTTATTGATGTAATGGAAAATATTATTTTAATGAAGAATGTATGGTTGAAAATGAATAGAAGAATGAGAATGAAAATTTTAATAGGTACCAAACACACCCTTAAAAGTTTTTTCATGTGTAAACTAATTAAAGGTTATGGACATATGTCTGAATGTTGCCACATGCGAAGTGTTAACGTGACGACATTCAGATGTTAATACAGTCCAACACTCCAACTGTCAAAAACGTCGCTCCACTTCATGAAACCTTGTCTAAGAATTTTAAAAGGCACAATTGTTTTACGGTTACAATTATAATTGTATTTTCTTTTTCAATTTTATGTTTCGCATGTTTTTGAATTCAGTTTTTCAATTTTATGTTGTATACGTATTTGAAAATTTTATTTCAAGTTTTTATTCTTGGGAGGTTAAAGTTCCTCAAAAACTCAACTGGGAGGTAAGACTCCACAATAATAATTTATTGCTATATTTCAATACAAACAATTTGCATTCATATCAATTGATATCAGAACTAGACATGAATTTGTCATTGGAGTAATGAGTGGAACGTTTGGAGAATATTGTTAAAGTTATGCATTTGTTTGATCTTGTTGATCTTCCAAAAAATCAATTATTTGCAGTTGAAATGTGGGTCCCTTTTTGTTCTTTCGTATAAAAGTAATGTTATTTAGCACATTTGGTATTTAATACCAAATGATAATATTAGTGTCATTAAATTATAAATTCAATTAAATGAATCACATAATTTTATGTTTAATTGAACCTTGCACATAATTTCGCATAGACTAACGTCTAGCATTATTCTTAATGTATAATGTAATGCGAAGGCTTTCTCGGACAACATTCAAAATCAAACTTGTGGCTCTTATTTTCTTGTCCATTTTGCCCTCTAACGAAAGTGGAAAGGGGTTGGTTTGGTGCATTTAATTGGGAGGGGGTATTTCGGTACTTTGGATAGGCTTGTAGGGGGATAAAATCGACAAATTGTATGAAATGTGTGTCTCCCCTACGGCCCTACTCCGCCAATTCAAATTGTTGTTTTGTAGGCCTTCATTTTTTAATTTTACATGACAGCATCAAATCTAGCAAAATCTCATTAAAAAAATAAAAAATAAAAAAAAATCAGTGCTAAATGAACAAGTTCTTCACGATTTTTACACTTTCTATTGAGCAAACCGCCTCCACAACAGACCGATGACTGTACTGTTTGTTATTCAAATTGAAAAACGATAACATCACTTATTAAAGGCTGGTAAATAAAATGTCCGTAAATCATAGAGACAAAACAATAGAGGTACATCAATGACATGCGTCTTCGAATTGAAAATCACTTGAAACTTCTAGAAAAACCCTTTAACATACTCTGAAAATCTTGGATGAAACTCAACCCTCTAAAATGTACTTTTGGAGTTATGTTTATAAAATTCTTATTCATGGTAAATGAGCAAGGCATTGAGGCGAACGCTAATAAATCCAAGCTCGTATAGAAATGTGGTCTCCAACAAAGCCTGAAGAGGTGCAATTTTTACAAGAAACTAGGAAAGGTTGCAACCTTAAAACAAATTTCTTTCACGAGCGATGGATAAATGCTCCTTTCTTTCAAACATTAAAAGGAGAAAAAAGATAATGAACTGAAGAATGCGGACAAGCCTTCCAGACCTTGAAGGAACATGCAGGAAAAAGCCCTGTTGTCAGACACTTCTAGATAAAATATAAAAGGTGATTCATGATCAAGGCACAATTGCTAGCATATTTCATGGCTAAACCTTAGACTTCCCCATTCTTAAAATTGAACTTGAACATGAAA